CAAGGCGGTCCCATGTAATTGCTGGTGAATGGAGCAGATTTTTTCATTAAAGAAGGTTGACAAAGATCTACAGGTCTGAGTAGAATACATGTAAGAAGGCAGGGTATCAGGGGGGTCAAAGATCTTGTGCATTATAGAAAAGAGAGACTTGGAATTTCCATCATTGGAGCAGATAAGGTCAGAATAGTAATTTGATTTAGTAATGGCTAATGAATTTGAATATTGAAGTAGATGAGTTTTATGCATTTCTTTTTGTATGGAGAGACCAGTTTTTTTGTGGAGGCGTTCCAGTTGCCGACCTTTGGCTTTCATGAGGCGGAGCTCAGGAGTAAACCAAGGGGCAGAACGGGAAAAGGATACATACCGGGTTTTGAGAGGGGCAAAGGAATTGAGAATATAGGAAAGCCCAGAGTTGTAGTGGGTGACAAGGTGGTCCGGAGAGGAAAGAGCAGGGATTGGGATGTTGTCAATGTGGGAGAATAAGATGTCTGTGTTTATGTTCTTAATATTGCGGAAGGAAATCTGGCGGACAGGCTTGATTATGGAGAGAGACAGGGAAACGTTGAAGGATAAAAGAAAGTGATCAGAAATATGGACATCATCAGCAGAACAGTTCCAGGGGATTAAACCAGAGCAGCAAATCAAGTCCAGCGAATGTCCTTTTATATGGGTGGGAAAATCAACATACTGATGAAATCCAGAACTGTCCAGGCAGGAGGTAAAGTCTCTGGTGAGTGAAAGGTTTACATTGTCCATGTAAATATTGAAATCACCTAGGAGAATGACATTAGGAGAGAAAGTAGTCAGGTGGATAAGTAGTATGGATAATTCATTTAAAAAGTCACTATGTGGTTTGGGGGGACGGTAGACTATGGAAATAAATATTGGAGTAGGACCAGGCAGTTCAAATGCAAAGCATTCCATAGAGCGGAAAACTGGAATAGAAACAGGCAACAACTTCCACTTCTCGCGATGAAGTAACGCGAGACCTCCCACACGGCCAGAAACACGAGGAAGAGAGTGGTAAACAAACCCAGGTGGAGTGGAGGCGTTGAGCTGGGAGAAGTCTTTAGGTTGTCGCCAGGTCTCCGTGAGGCAGAGGAAGTCCAGCTTACGGTCATTGATGAGATCCTGGATGAGCTGACCCTTGTTTGTGAGAGAGCGGATATTCAGGAGTCCAAAGTTGACGGGAGAGTTGATATGACCGGAGGCGGGGCTTGCTGCCTTAGCCAGGCTAGCAAGCGAACTGAAATCAGCGGTCCGACCGGGATATCGGCGAGAGCGGCGTGAAGTGGACCAGAATGATGGTATTGGATTGGAGTCATCGATGTGGAAATTCCGACGGGATCCGCGGTGGATGTATCTCTGGCGGGGAAGGAGCATGATCTCCGGGTGTAGCTGGAGAACTGGCGGTGCAGGCGCAGACAGAAACCCACGGAGCAGGAGGAGATCAGCTGCCGAATACTGGGACAGACCAGCCCCAGGTCGATGTAGAGTGGAGAGGACAGTCCAGAGGAGGATACACCAGATGTAGAACTTGGAGGTTGACATTGTTAACGGCAGCCGGTGGCTAACCAACAGCAGCAACGGCGTAGAGTCAGGAGAACAGTTGGAGAGTGAGGTTAGTTAACCACACTCAGACACAAAAACAACGGGATGGCAGCCGGAGTTAGGATGATAGAAGCGAAGGCAAGTGTCTTTGCTCTCACTTGAATGTGAGTACACAGCCCAAAGTTCCGTAAAAACGTTGAAAAATACTTAAAAACAGGTAGCGGAGAGCAGCGGCTGCAAAAACGCGCCAGCATCCACTCAGCGCATGCGCACCAAGTTGAGTAAGATATGACAGTGAGTATCAATACTTTTACTCAAGTACTGATGTTGGGTACTTCGTCCACCATGGGTGATGACACCCGGTTATACCGTTTAGAGGTCACTAAAATTAGTGTTGCTTCGGTGTGTAGGTTTGCCAAAACAATGTCGGACTCTGTAATTTTCTCTGGTTCTCTCCCTGATCTGACCAGTGATGACATGTTTAGCTGCATGTCGTCATTCAACCGCTGGTTGTCTAGGTGGTGTCCTGAAAACAACGTGGGCTGCATTGATAATTGGCTTTACTTTTGGGGAAAGCCTGGTCTGATTCGGAGAGACGGCATCCATCCCACTTTGGATGGTGCAGCTCTTCTTTCTAGGAATCTGGCCACATTTATTAGTCCTCCAAAACCCTGACCACACAGGGTGCAGACCAGGAAGCAGAGTCGTAGTTTAACACACATCTCTGCAGCTTCTCTACTGTTACCCACTCTTTACTCCATCCAGACAGTGTCCTGCCCACGACCAAAATCGAATAAAACAGAAAAGAATTCTAAAGCAGTAAATCGTGATAATCTAATTCAAATTAAAATATGATAATAATTAAAATATTCCAATTGGGGAAAATTTTTAAACAATGAAACATGATTTGTGTAACATAAGATCTCTTTCTTCAAAAAGTCTGCTAGTTAAAGACTTGATTTGTGATAATCACATTGACTTATGTTGCCTTACAGAAACCTGGCTGCAGCAAGAGGATTATGTGAGCATAAATGAGGCAACTCCTTCAAGCTATTTAAATTTTCACATACCCAGAAGTTCTGGGCGAGGAGGAGGAGTAGCAACAATCTTTCAGTCTGACTTACTGATTACTCCCAAAACAGTTAATACCTACAACTCTTTTGAACATTTAACCCTTAATTTCCCTGATCCAAATTGCAAAGCAAGAAAACCTCTTCTTTTTGTTACTTTGTATCGTTAACAAGGTCCTTGCTCTGAATTTTAAGTTTATTTTAGTTTAGTTAACAGGGTCATCATAGTGGGAGATTTTAACATCCATGCTTACATTAAAGGTGATAGCTTAAGTGGAGCCTTTAATGCTACAGTATCTTAGACTCTATTGGTTTTTTTCAAAATTGTATGGCCTTGCAGGTGAAACAGGCTGGGTGAAAACCTTTATAGTTAGTAAATGGGATAAATAGTACATGAAATAAGAGAAATATAAATTTTCCAGCCACACAGATCATTATTAAATAATGCAGTTATAAAAAAAAAAAAAATCTTTTTCACTTTCTCTCTGCTCTGTTGCTGAGCAGTGCTGCAGAGGACAAAAGTTTAGTTTATTCCCCTTCACAGATTGATGATTTAGTTGATGCAGTTATCTATGATGCTAGTTCTCTGCTTACTGCTTTAGACAATGCAGCCCCTTTGAACATGAAAAACTTTAAAAATAAAAAGTTGGCTCCTTGGTTTAATGCAGAGCTGCGCAGTCTGAAGCAAAATGCTAGGAAACTGGAGAGAAAATGGTGCTCTACATGTCTACAGGAGTCTGCAAAAATTGTTTACTGTATAAGAGGACCCTTTGTAAAGCAAGAACAGAATATTTCTCCTCATTAATAGAGGAGAATAAAAATAATCCTAGATTTATTTTTAATACTGTTGCCAAACTCTCCCAGCGTTTGGCAACTGTACAGTATTTGTTGAACCCTCAATTTCACCTGCTCTTAGCAGTAAAAAATATTGATTCTTTTAACAATAAGATCATTAGCAGTCAATGACTTGGTCAATTATAGACCTATATCCAATCTTCCTTTATCTAAAACTCTTCAGCTTTCTATAGAAGCTTGTGGGGGACAAAATATTTTTTTTAACTTGGTGTCATGTTGGGTTCCAGTCTTTTCACCCACATGCAGAAACACACACAGGAGAGCACTGAAATCAGTTAAAGTGGTTTATTGAACAGATTCAAACAATAGTGAGGGAAAGTGCTCCGGGGAGAAGGGGAAAATCCGGTCCTCTGACTGTCAATGAGAGAGGGTGGTTAGAGTTGCGTTCAGGGAACAGTGGGAAAATACAATAATAGCAGCGGTGCTTACTTTTGAGTTGGTGTCCGGTTCAGCGACAGAACGGCTGAATCAGAGGAGGCTTCTCTTGAGTGGAGTGGATTGTGTAGGGTCCAGAGTGGGGTTTTGGAACCGGGGGTGGCGGAGCTGGCGGGTGGACAGGTAAGTTTGTTCAGCGAGGTGGAGAAGGGAGGCTGACTGGGAATATCAACCTCACGCTTCACAAGGAGAGCTCTCGGAGGAGTTCAGACGCTTCCGGTATAGGCAGCGTCCACAGGGAGTCACTGGAGACGACCTGGTGAAGAGGAAGCAATGGAGGGAATTACTCAGACAGAAGAATCTAAGCGAAAGGTCTACTCAAAGAGAATAATACTCGGTAGGATCTACGAGGGGCTCTGGTTACCATAATAGGCAAACACTCAGGCAACGCAGAGTCGGTCATCCGCTCCTTATGTAGCTCCACAGTCAAATGATGATTTCCCCCAGGTGTGTCCACGGGGTTTCCCACACTTCTCCAGGGGCCAGCCTACAGGCTCTGGTGGTAGAGGAAGGAAGGGAAAAAATAAAAAAAAAGAAAAAACAAAACAAAACCCTGGGTCTTGACACTTGGGCTTAATTAGTATAAGAGTAAGAAAATATGTATACCATAAATTCTTTAAAAATCCTAAAATGTGATTTCCTGGATCATTCTTCGCAAGTGTACTGTGATAAACATAAATTGGTTTTCATATTTTTTATGCACATGCTCAGCTATGAGTGAAATTACTCAGAGTTGATGGAGTTAATTAAGAGACTTTTGTGAGACGAACAAAGTTTCTGACTTTAGTGTAGAAAAATACAGAGTTAAGGATTTGAGTCGTGAAACGGGCCTCAAATCATTCAAACTGTCCATCATTTTTGTCTCCCATTCAGCTGCTTTAAAGGATATTAAACACTAAAAGCTGCTGGGTTCAGAAGAACCTGATCTGTAACCTGATGCTGGGTCACATTTGGATGGAGCCCACCCTGGGCTGGTTCTCCTCAGCAGGGTTGGATATGGATCTGACCCAGTTAGATCTCCTCTGATCTCTCTGTTGTTCATCTCTCAGCATTAACACTGTTTCTGTCATTGTGTTTTTCTTCTGTCAGATGGGATGGAAACCTTCTCTCAGTTCCTCAGGACAGAGTTCAGGGAGGAAGACATCAAGTTCTGGTCGGTCTGTGAATACAGAACCACTGATCCAGGAACAGAGCTGCTGTCCAAAGCCAGATCTATTTCTACAGCCTTGATGGAAGCAGAGGCCTCCAAGCAGGTAGGAGGGGACATGTTCATGTCTGCAGAGCTGTAACGGTTGTAATGCCCTAACCAGTAGATCTCCATTCCCAAATTGGTGTGGTTCATTTACATACAGTTAAAGTTGTGAGCTCAGATATTTAGTGGATCATGCAAGGAGAAGGAGTGAAGCAAGACTATAGACAGAAGATAAAGTTTGTTGGCTGGAGTTCAATGCATGTCAGACAGGTTTTCAGCATGTTTAAATGCTGCACATTGTGTTTAGTTTGGTAACACAAAAAGCTACTTAGAGTAAGTCTTGCAGGAGTGACGGACTAGTTTATATCAGAGTGGTCTAATCCACCTTTTATTGCTAACTGTAGTGTTGGCTCTACTAAGCCCATGAAATTAGCCAATAGGAGACCATTTTTGCATGTTGCACACACATCACCTCACAGGTCCACAACAGCTGAGGGAGCAACTTTTAAGTTGCCCAGATGTGAGTCGGCTTAATTAGGTCGACTTCTGGGTGAATTCTCTACCACTGACACATTAAGTCCTGCAGATCTTCTGCTGCATCAGGAGCTGAAAATAATCAATTATACACATGTGTAGATGAGGAGCTGAGCTCCTGACTATTAGATCAGGTTTAGATCTGGAATCAGAGTAGATAGATCACAGTGATGAAAGAGGAAGCTGTTTGATGACCTTTAACCTTTTGGATTCTATGTTGGGGGCAGTAATTGGTCTTCTAGTAGTTATCAGAATAGTGAGAATGATAGAAAACCCAGAGCGCATTAGAGAGGAAGGAGCAGGAACCCTGAGCTGATAGAGGCAGAGGAAGGAGCATCCAACATGGAGGGAGGTCAGCAATGAAGCTCAGAGCAGAGAGACACAGATAGAGATGAAGGACACTGGCTGCTGTGATGGACAGGTTGGAATTAAAGCTTTTCTACTTCATCTATGATTTCCTGCTTCTTTAGATTATTTCCATGGGATCAAAATGACTGACAGCTCTGATCTAATGAGTAAATATATTCCTTAGTTTTGTATTGTGTTGTTTTAAATAGTTGACCTGCAGCTTTATTCTCTGTATTTTCTTTCCTTCTAACCAGAGTGTGTTGATGTTCTAGCAGAGCTTCCAGTAGAACCAGACCTCATCTACTCCTCAGTGAGGTAGTCCACCATCTGACCTCTGACCTCCAGCTGCTGCCTTCTGACTGCTTCATCCAACAGACTCTGTTTACTTCTACATTCATGTTTCTATCATCCTGCTGTTAGAACATTTCTCTCTATGTAGAACTAGAGCACTCAGAGAAACCAGACCAGATCTAGATCATCACCCAAGTTTAAAGGGGAACCACAGTTTTTTTTTACATTTGGCCCTTAATTTTACGTTATTCCATCATGTTCTACTCACCCATATGAGTCTTGTGTCATCTGGAGCCGTTCTGAAGATATTCCGTTAGGTTATATCCAAGTAACGTCTTCCTATGGGCAACGACTTGAAGGCACAAACTAAACTGTTCATAATTTATTATTTATGGTACGCCAGCATTCAGAACGTAGGCAAATCACTGTCCCCAAGACATCCGCGGTTATATTTTTTATATTAATATGTTTTAAAAATGAAGCGGCAAGTGTATGATTTCTTTATGTAGTCTTTACGTCATAGCGCGGCTCTGAGGTCTGATCAGATTCCATGAGTCCTCATATGCGGCCTACAAATGCGTCCTTTTTTTTGCCCGATTTGAAGGACGGGTCCGATGTATCCTCGCTATCCTTGGTTTTCCCAGGATTCATTGGAAGACCAAGCAAGCCGTGATCAGAGAAAAGGTTACTTGGCGCTGAACAGTGGAGAATATTGGAAGTGCAGTTTAATATAATACAAATCTCTGAATAGTTTTGTCTGAAATGAATGAAAATAGTTGATTTAATGGTTATTGAGTCAGATTTGCAGTGGTGTTGTTTGATTTATCTAAAGGTTTTTATCTGTTACTGTGTAAATGGGTTTGGCTGTAATTTAAGGACAGATTCTAATATATCTACAGTGTGGGGACTATAAATCTGATAGGAGTTAAATTTTTTATTGCTGTTTTGCACAATATGCTTAACTAAGTATTTTTTGTTGTTGAATATTAGAGATTTTGCAGATATATTTTTTATACATACATTGTTTAGATTTACTTATATCTTTCTACCCCTTTTATAGAATAGAATAGAAAATCCCTTTATTGTCCCACAATGGGCAAATTTACAGCAGCAGAAATATTATTGAAAATGGTCACACAAATCTGGACCTTAGAAAAATGTATAAGAATAACATAATAGGGAAGAGTTAAAATATAAACAATAAAATACTGTAAAGTGTTTTAACAATATAAAACTGGAGAATAAATAACCAATATGCAGCTATGGACATTTTTACAGTAATGGATATTTGAAAATAGCAGCAACATCAGAGATGTGCAGAATGACAGCAGCAGGTTATTTAACTGACTAAGGTTTCTATCATTACATTTGATTTTATTTGTTCCTGCTCCCCGGTGGTTGGAACCTTTATTCCACTCTGGATTCTTGTGAGTTTAGTCTTTGTTCACTTTACAATAAAAAATAAATACAGAAATAAACAGTTTTGAGAACTTCGGTATTCATTATTTTCCTGCTTTGTGTGTCAACTTTCACGGTTGCCGAATCCACAGCCAAAACTCTTCCGGTCTCCTTATTTTCACGGACTTCGAAGGATCCAGTCCAGGTAGACCCCGTCCTTGGAGGATGCAGCCCAGGATTTCGAACAGAGCCGAGAAGGACGACCACACAGACAGCCGGAAAGGCAAACCAAGGACCAATCACAGCTGCTTTTTGTCTGCGACCTTCCGCTTGAGGTCTGCGCGGCTCTGCGACCCTCCAACGCGTAGTCAGGATTTTTTTAGGTGCGCAATGACAGTTGCAGAGCCTCTGCACAGGGGGCGTGGTCATGCACAGAGACAGATTTGATGGTTGCAGAGGCTATGCGTTAGAAGCATAAATTGGCCTTGACTCAAAAGTAAAAGTCTTATTGCTAAAACTAATCTGTTCTCTTTCTGCGAACAGATTTTAGTAAAAAGCTGATAAATAAGTCTTATATAAGTGCTGTTAGAACATGAGGTTTTCCTTCATGCAGAGAAGGAACTTCATCCTGGATCTGATTGACATGACTAACTGTGATCTGTGGCTGAGAGAAGGTTCTGGTTCCAGGAGAACTGGTTTAGATTGATTCCAGTTTGACACAATTAAAATTGGACTATAAAATTTAATAACAGATTCTAGTTTTAAAAAGTTTTACATTGTTTTAATTTCATCTTCTCACAGCAGATTATCTGTTAAATAAAAACTACAACCTTCCCAAATGTGATTATTTTCAAATAAGATAAAACTAGTAAAAATTGTGAAAAAGATAGGCCTACTACTATTTCAGTGATCTCTCAGATTAGAGTTTTCTACCACCTGGTGGTCAGATTGTGTATTACAGAAGAACAAATTGCCTAAAATATTCATCAGTTTACAGTAAAAATAGTAAAAAGAAAGCTAGTAGTTTGTAGTAGTATTAGTTGTTTTTACTGTTAAAATAAATTAAAGTATATTGGGTTTATATTTTGCAACAGAAACAAAGGATTCAAACTCACGTTGACTTTTTTGCACATTCATTATTTCACTGCTTCAGCTCCACATACTGAACAGTGTTAACATTAACGCAATTACTTTAATTCTAAAAACGTTATTCTCACAGTTAATAGAATCAATTTACTTAAGAACTTTTTTTGTGTGTATTTAATATTCTATTCTATTTAGTCACCAGTGTGCAGAGATGGGAAGTAACAAAGTACAAATACTTCGTTACTGTACTCAAGTAGATTTTTCTGATATTTTTACTTTACTTTTTTTTTTTACTTTTACTTATTTTTATGGCGACTTTTTACTTCTACTCCTTACATTTTTACACAAATATCTGTACTTTCTACTCCTTACATTTTAAAAAATTGGCTCGTTACTTTAGTTTTGAATCATTTCAATGGAGTTACCGTTATTATTTTTCACGTCATCAATACCAAATTCAATCTAATTGGATGGGAATCTACGTTGCATTTGACGCACCGCTACAAGATGAATCGACAGATTCGGCGGTATTCATTCGTGGCAAATCATTGCAGCTTGGTGGCGGTGGCGTTAGCATAGTAGCATGGACGACGAGATGATTGAAAATGAACACAACGGAGATCTAGTCCTATTGGCAGACATCCATTTAAAATGTAGGCAACGGCATGAAAAAAGTGGTTTCTACTTTTACTTTTATACTTTAAGTAAATTCACAAGCCTGTACTTTGTTACTTTTACTTGAGTAAAGAAGTTTAATCAGTACTTCCACTTTTACCAGAGTATTTTTTAACACAAGTACCTGTACTTTTACTCAAGTACGGAAAGTGAGTACTTTTGCCATCTCTGCCAGTGTTTCACCTCTGTTCTGTAGTGCAAAGATGTCTGCCTCCATAAAAGCTCCTATGTAACAATAAATAGCAATTTGTAAGGCAACACAAACACGATGGTTGATTTTATTTAAATGTAGATTTATGTTTATTTAAATGTCTTCAGACATTGTTAATATTAATCTAATGTGCTTTTGGAACTCTATGAATTTCTCATCCTCATCTTTACCTTTTTCACCTCAGTCCTTCAACTGCAGCTCTTCAGCTCCTTATTTATATACTCATAAATCACAAAGAGGAAACCAGCCAATCACAGCTCTTGCCTGTTCAACATGAAAACAACAGAAACTCCATCAATATGCAGCCAGAGGTCTTTTTGTTTTTAAAGAGCAGGAAATAAAACATTCCACTTCCTCAGAGCTGTTGGCTGAGGATCAGGTCGCCTCCACCTGATTGCTACCGGATCATCTTTGGACCGATGCACACCTGGTCTCAGGTTTTGAGCTCAGAACCAAGGAGGTGCTTTATTATTGGACTGTTTAGCATGGATAGTGCACAATTAACACCATATTCAAGAATAATGATTAGTGCACTTGGCACCAGGACACCATGGGCTAGAGATCGATGATCGACTAGCAGTATATGTTCTAACCTTCAGCCTGTCTTGGACACTTTGGTGAAGAGAGGGGCGGAGCCGTCCACCAATCAGCACCTGGCGCTTAGCTGGATACGCTGGAAGAGGAGGAAGCAGGACAGACTCAGCAGGACCAAGCGAGTAGTGAGTCTGTGGGAACGTCTGGTGGAGTCTTCAGTCAGGGACGTCTTCATCTCCCAAGGTTTTGTGAGGAAATTGGATAATTGCTTTTCTTTTTTAAACAGCTGGTTAAGGAGGCTTTTATTTAATCAGTAGAGATTATATCTGTAGAGATATCTGATGGTGGTGAATAATCTCACCATTTTAAATGACGTCCCACTAAGTGTTCACCAGTCTTCTTAGCACAATGGATTCATGCTGACTGACTGTTGTCAGCTGTTTATTTTTGGTTTGGCCTAATTTGTTTTTATAGTGTCGAGTTAAAAAAATATGAGCGCTGAGAGTTGTTATTATAGGAAGAAAAGTTTTTATTTTCTCTGCAGAGGAGAACACACGACTAGCCTAAATGCAGTTCAGTGATGTTCTAAGGCTGCAACATTCTCACCCTCCATAAAAAGGGGACTACACACACACATTTAACTCTTCAAAGGACAGAGATAACAAATGTTTCCCGTTCACACCAGGACGTGAGAATCCTGACTTCCTTTCAAACCTCCTTCCCCTTACAAACAGGCCAAACAAAAATACCATTCCACAATAGCCTTTAGCCTCTCCAGCCTTGGTGCCTCTCTATGGGGTTATGTTAGGTTTATACAATGATGATTATAAAGTTAATGTGCGTGCATATGAAACATTGAAGAAATAAGATGCTACATTCTGTCCTGTGATTCAATCAGGAGGGTCATTCTAGACTTTCCTTCAGCTAGAAGTCATTTACAGGGTCATTTCACTCTATGACCTTTCTCCAGCCAGTTGATCATAAAACAGTGTCACTCTGTTTTATGACCTGCATCCAACTAGATAATCATTGCAGGGTCTTCTATCCTAAGACCCACCCATTTTGCTCATGTTCTGTTAATAAAAGACCTTTGCTGTTCTGTTGGCCAGAAAGGTGCTGGAATGTGAGCAGCAGCCTTTCTCCTCCTGCAGGAAGCTCTGAATGAAAATCCCTTTGTGTGTCAGATTCACTTTCTGCTATTATTTCATCCAAATCAAAATGGAGAAAATCAGGAAGGAGCAATCAGCTTAGTGAGCTTAGTGCTTGGGAAAAAATCTTTCATTCCTTTTGAGAC